AAAAGCAGGTTTACAGCCGTGTGTACATAAAACAGTTTACTCTTGCATGATTATTTATTAATTACTGTATTATTTTCCATACTAACAACTGTAAACTTACTTTTGCCCAGCCCTGTATATATCTCCACAGTCCTAACTACCTCAGTCTTCTGTCTTCTCAAAACCAGAAGAGGACAAAAAATATTGATATCCATGATGATAAACTAAGTCTCACAGATTTAGCATAATAAAGCAGTACACTTTAATGTATTTTAGAAAGACTGCTATTAAAATGTCTAAAATAAATGGGCTTGGGCACTTCTATATGCTTTAAAAACCCAACAAACCTCTACCCAAGAAAAGGAATAAAGGATGATTCTGAAGTTCACGATTATTTTATGCATTCTAATCAATTAACTAACAAACACAGCCTTTTTACAAGGGATCCTTGAGCAGGAAGACAATGATCCTTGGTGGCAACAGGGGAGAAAGAGGAAGAAAGGAGCGCAGAATTTGAGAAAGTCTAACAGAGCATTTCCTTCTTCTTAAAGTGAAACGAGTCACTGGGTTAGTTATAGAGAGGCACTCTTCGAGAAAGGAGGTGGAAACGTAGAACCAGGTGAGCCAACAAAGATAGCCCTTAGTCACTAGACAATGAAAAATTAACATACAAGGACAGGCGAAACTGTCCAAAGCGCAAAAGTTCGGGTGATCCCATTAGACACACAAATGCCCAAGTGCTCCCCAGCTCAACCAGGTTCCAGATGTCACCCTGGACACCCAAAATGTTCTAATTCCCTTGAAAGTCTCACAGCCCCAGAGGCATCCCTCAGGCACTGGTCTCCCCCAGATCGAATGCACCCTCCCCACACTCCCCATCCATCCACTTCCACCTTTTTGTCTCAGCCTCATCTCTGGCCATCCCTGCCTAACACTCTATCTTCTCTAGGTTGTTCCTTGTTCCCTATTTTCACCCTTCTGTCCTCTTTCTCCCTTTGTCTTCAAACCTGCTCTTCCCTCTATTCCCTCCTCTTCATTCCTTTCTCACTCTTTGTGTGACAATGATTCCCACTCCTACTTGTACCTCACCCCCAAACCCCACCCCAATTTCTATACCCTCCCCTCCCTCCCCACCTAGGTTTCCCTGTAGCCATCAGTCATCTACGACCAAACCAGAGGAAGCAATCTTCTCTCAGAAAGAGCCAAAAGTTTAAACCAATATAATATTTAAAAATTGGTCATGTTAAAAAAAATTTTTTTAAGCCTTCAAGAATGACTTAGAAGTAGTAAGGAGACCCCCAAAGCTTAAGGTGAGCTCTTCCTATTTCAGGGCCAGAAGTACAGAATTTATATAACCAGGAAAATGTCGCTAAATCAACCCGGTGGTCTGGGTGTCTAACCCTTCTATCATGGGTTCACTGTCAAGGCCACAGGGACTTAGGGGTGAGAATGATCTCTTTTCACGGTTTGTTATCTGAATTCCTATCAAAGGTGCTTAAATACAAGTGCTGCTTTATTCATAAAAAAGCCTGAGAAAAGCACATAAAGAGCAGATGCTTCACTTATTTAATGTCTCCTGTCAGGAGGGGGGGAAAAAAGCAATCTCTGTTAAGATTATAGAACAATACTGCTGAAAGGGAGGTTTCACCACGAAGCAAAAACATTACCCAGCTGAAGCCGTTACTGCTTCCTAATCCCTTCTGGAAAGCTCGAGTGTGTGCTTATAACATTACCGTCCTTTGACTTCACAGCGCCATCCTATCCAAGCACGAAGTGCGCGGTTAACGGTGGGAGGAGAGCAATAAACAAAAACCTCCCTCTGAACAGATCCCACCTACAAAACCTCTCCCTCCTGGCAGCTCTTCCCTCCCCCGCCCGATTCCACTGGGTCTCAGGTCTAAAGAGACGCCCACAGAAAGGCACCGAAGATCACACAACCCTCACTCCAACCTTACTGCCTTCCCTCCAGGACTGAACTGGAGAAGGTCTTACCGCGAAGCGTCCTTCACAATCTAGAGGGCAATGTTATCTCTGCCCCTGGAGAAGCCGCCTGCTTCCCCTTCTATCTTCTTGGCACCTGATTACTGCTGGTGATTACTGCTGTTACCACCCCCAATAGTGATGGGTAAGTTTTCATATACTTTTTGCCACGAACTATGCTAAGCACTTAATATGCATAACCCAGTGTCATCAGTTGGTATTTTACCTATGAGAAACAGCGCTTGCTCAAGGTTCTCAGCCAGCAAGTCAAGGAGTTCCCGAATGAAACCCAGGTCTGTCCCTAAGGCCCAAACTCAAAACCATGACACAACCTTAGACAAAAAGGATCCTCCATGCCTCCAAACCAGCTCCAGAAATTCAAAGGCCCCCTAGAGATCAGAAGACCACCAGCACTCGCTGTGCAAAAACCTTTTACCCACCCATAGTTCCTCCCCTTTGCCTTTGCCTGCCACTGCCTAGTGGGGGAGGAAAGAGGTGTCCTCCCCACCCTGTCCCAGGTGCTGTCCCACTTCTTCCTAATTATGACTGGCTGATAGTGTGGGTTTAAACTCTTTCAACACCAAGGAACCTGCTGAGAATCTGATGGAGCCTCCGTCCTCTTACCTGTCCCCACTCAAGTCCTGGATGAAGCACATGAGCCTGGAGAAGTCATGCACCGAGCAACAAAACTCCACAACACAACTCCATGGTGAAACACACACACACACACACACACACACACACTTCCCCCGACCCCTGGGGTGACATTCCTCTCAAAGGACACCACAAGGTCCTGGCCCTGCTAGTTCTTCTCATGTGGGGGGAAAAGACCGAGAAAGCAAGTGGGTTACTGTGGATTCGCCATCAGGAAGCCCCTGCTGAGCTCATGCATTACCTTAGTTATGCACAAGCCAGAGACTTCAAGCTCTTGCTGGGGAGGAGGAAGAAGAGTTCACAGAGGGAATTACACCAAGGGGCAGGACCAAGTGATAAGAATGACAATGGTTATTATCCTGAGCACCTGCCAGGGTCTGTGCTAGATGCTCTGCAGGCATGTCTCACCACCTTCTTAATCCTGCGAAGTTCTCATTATGAAGAGGAAACTGAGGCTTAGGGACTCTACCTCCCAAGTAATTATAGCACTTACTGGTGCCAAACTCCACTCTCAGCACTGTAGGTGTGCATATACTGACTCATTTAATCCTCACAACAGCTCTATGACGTAGATAGGTGATACTATCACCAGATGACCAAACCGAGAGAGGTTGTCATTAAGCACTAGCCCAGGTCATGCAGCTGGTAAGTAAAAGAGCAAGTATTTTTAAAAATTTTATCTTTTTTGTTGAAAGTAATACAGATGTACCCTCTTCCCCCACACCCATTGACTCCTTCTAGCCTGTCCCCCCCGCCCCAACCCCCAAGCCTTCACCACACTATGGTCTGCGTCCATGGGTTATGCATGTATGCATATAAGTTCTTTGGTTAATCTCTTCCTACCCATCCACCTACCCCCTCCTTTAAACCTAGGCACTCAGGCTCCAACACCTGTGCTCTCAGTCCTGGAGCGATACTGCAAATATACTCCTGGGGTTTTAGTCTGTTTTGTTTGTTTGTTTGTTTTGGCTGTTATTTTTCAACAAGGCTGCAAGCTCTAGGAAGAAAGGGAGCACTTTCCGTACCCCACTCAGCAATCAGTATCGAGATCCAGCCATGACAGAGTTGTCAGTGAATAGCTGAGTCTGGTGCAACCCATGGAGGGACCGACTGCTGGAGCATCTCGCAGCTCCACTGCCCTGACACTCATTCCAGGTCCTCCCACCCCTCAACCCCAAAGACCCCTGGCCAGCCTGTGTGTGTCCATTTTGGGGATCTGTGAAGGCAGGCTGGTACATGCTGAAAATGGTCGAACACAAAGACCGGATTCCAATACACCAGAGAGCAACTCAAAGCAACTGGGCTGCCACATCCTGCTCCATTCACCTGCCTTTTGTCCACAAGAGCTCAGAGCCCTCCTTCTGGCTAGACCCAGGAGTGCCACCATCAATCAGCATGTCAGCATGCACAGGGGCATCTACCAACCACCCCTGTCCTGCAGTGCATAGAACACACCTCTGGCCTGACGTCCAAGGCCTCTCACAGGCTATAGAGCAGTCTATAGAACACACCTCTGGCCTGACGTCCAAGGCCTCTCACAGGCTATAGAACAGTGTATAGAACACACCTTTTGGCAGACCTGTTCCCCTCTCTACCTGGCCTTCCTGCTGCTCAGTCATTTACTCTTTGGACAACTCTTATGTTTGGAGAACCCACCATACACCAGGCTCTCTGTTAGGGTCCAGAATTACAGGGTGAACTAGAGATGCACAGTCTTTGCCCTCGTGCCACCTCCTCTGTGAAACCTTCAGAGATACCCCTCATTTTAAGTATATCTGGCTGACAGTGAGTTCTGTCAGAGTACACAGACTTTAAAAATCACCTAAAATCCTAATCAAAATACTAGAATGTCCAGTTGGGGAACAAAAAATTCCAGATTAAAGAAAGCAAGATTATCCTCACAGGACATTCACTTTGAAATATGCAGAAAGGTGAAGGTAGTTGTTTGTTTTTTGTTTTTAAATCCATGAAATCAATGATTCCTAAGAACAACAAAATCTGAGAAAGCAGATAACCCTGAACCACTCTAACTTATAAACTGATTGTGTCATTCCCTCCCTGGCTATATAGTTGTTCTTTATCTCAAAAATCAATGGCCTGCCTGTCTATCTCTGATATATGTGCTCAAGTCATTAAATAACCTAGGAACACGGATTAAAATATGAGATGTGCCTGAACGTAGTGACAGATATTCCAGAAAATTGCCAGAAGGAGGTGCCGTTAAGTACCTGGGCTGACACCTCAGGAAAGAAAGCTAGCATCCTCAGAGATTACACTGTTAACACCGATTTAAATTCTACCCAGGCCAACTGATATACCTTACCTGTCCTGTACCACAGAAAAATAAGGGGGTTACGCATAAGAGAAATTTTTCAAATAACTAACGCTTACTTTTCAATGCCAAAACATTGAAATGTTAGCCATTTTAAAAGAGTGCGCTGGGTGTAATGGACACTGGATGCCCAGGGTCATACTGAAGTGTGCTCTGACACTGAATAGACTCAGGCTACTTCCTCTCCTCCAAGCCTGCTCCGAGCAGCTTCCTCTCTGCAACCCTAGCCCCATCCGCTTTTAACCGGCTGTCTACCAAGGAAGAACTGAAAGGAAAAGCAGATAACCAAGGTTATGCAACACACCAGCTGAACTTAGACACAATTCTAAGTCAATTCGCTCTGGCCTCCCTTCCCAGGAGGTAAGAGGCAGGGAAAGGAACCCTAACATACTGAGCACATGTGACAGGGGAGGCCCCACCACCTCAGCGTCCCATCATCTCACTTAAGCAACCCAGCACACAGCAATACTATTTCTATCTTAAAGATAAGGTAAATGGGTGCTGACAAAGATGCTCGCTCATCCAAGACCTCACGGCTGGCAGGTGGCAAGGTGGAGCGGGGTCCCAGCCTTCTTACCCCAAGTTGCATTATCCTCCAGGACATCAAAGTTGTGAAGATCTTGCCAGAGAACCTGACGCAGGCAGTACAGCGTAGAATCCTTCTCACCACAGCTTCCCAGAGAAGGATTTCTTTACTTTTAGAGAAATAAATCTTTTCAGCATTTTATATATCCTGTATTTTACCATCCTATATTTAGAACTTAAAATATGCCCTGGCCGGGTTGTTCAGTTGGTTAGAGCGTCCTTCCAATACACCATGATTGCGGGTTTGATCCTCGGTCAGGGCACATACAGGAATCAACCAATGAATGCATAAGTAAGTGGAACAACATATCAATGTTTCTCTCTCTCCCTTCTTCTCTCTTTAAAATCAATCAATTAAAAAAAGAACTTAAAACTTATTGGTTAGTGCAAATGATTAATACAATGAAGACAAGTATCTCATACCAACCACACAAATGCCCTTTTAACTGTGGTCCTATTAGCAACCTAGGATCTTCACTAGTTCACATCAATAGACCTAGAGAACGAAATTAATTGTTAGGACTATACAAAAGGGGAGATCTCTCACATAATAATCTAACAAAATTATTGCTTCAATCATATTTTAAGATTAAACAATTGAGCAAACTCACTAAGAAGAAGCATGGAAATGTTAAGAAACTCAAGTTTTCCCAGGAAATTAGATAACAATTATTAAGCAAGCCATAACTGCACATATAAGCTAGTTCACTGTATATAGTTTTATCCATACTCCTGCTTAAACTATAGCAATTACCAGATAAACTGTTTAATCCCGTGCACACGGCATGTGTTCAGTGAATAAACTTTTCACTGAGTCTGTAAAATGTCAAGTAACTACAAGCATAATTAGATACAAGGGAAACTCCAGTACCCATTTCTACTCTGTGGAGGATGCACTTGTGACCTCCACTTCTATGCATAGGAGAAAAAAGCTTATTTTGAGAAATATAAAACACATCTAAAGTTTCACCGAATGCAATATCAACTTTAACTTTTTACATTTTGATCATTCCCTTCAAAAATGAAGCAACACCTTAGCTGGTTTGCTCAGTGGTTAGAGCACCAGCCCGCGGGCTGAAGAGTGGCATGTTTGATTCCGGTCAAGGGCACATACTTCGGTTGCAGGCTCGATCCTTGGCCCCCGTCAGGGCAACTAATCAAAGTGTCTCTCACATCGATGTTTCTCTATCTCTGTCTCCCCTCCTCCCTTTCATTCTCTCTAAAAATCAATGGGAAAAATATCCTTGGGTGAGGATTAATAACAACAAAAAACACAAAGTGACAATTTTAATTATTTCCAAGCCCACATACGAGGTGTGCCCTATAACTACAAATAATCTTTTCTAAAGAGTGCCCTCATCCTGGACCCATGGCTTTATTCCTGCTGCCATTTATTAACCATGCAACCTACTTGTCTGATAAATTTGATAATTGCTCCCTTCTCATTTTGAAATATAACTATAAAACCTAATCCTCACTGTACTTCCTTGGATTTGTGCACAAAGAGCTGTATCTTTCTAGAATAAACAAATAGATTTTTTAAAATGTTATTCTCTTACTATGAGTCTATCCTAAGAAATGCCTCATCAGAGTAAGGAAAGAAGATACACCCTAAACTTCATCACCCATGGGCTTCTAGGCCTGGGGCTCATTCACAAGAGAAGCCCTTAGTCCTTAGGAAACCCAGGGTACACACAGTTCTCCAAGCCTGAAAGGACTCCTCCTTCAGAACACCCCCAAAATACCCAACAGGTTCATGGGGAGAATAAAATCTCCTTGTCCCTGTTGCCCCAACACTACCTTACCATGCTCTGTCGCAGTATACAAACAATCCAGATTTCAGGATCTTGGTGGCACAGGACTCCTACCTGCCATATTTTCACTGAGGAATACAAATTTCTCCATTACTTCTAATTCCATTGGACAAACCAACACAACTTGTAGGTGGTTCTCTATTTTTTACCTGAAAGGAGAAAACACTTGTACCAACTGTTCCTAAAGAAGAAAACACTAAGAAAGCTCGCACCATGAACAGAGGAAGACGTTTCTTAAGTCCAGTTTATGAGCCCACAGCCTGAGACCTGAATTTCCTTCCTTCCCCCTTCATTTTCGTAGTTGAGATTATTTACTCCTTAAAGAACAGCACAAACAGGTGTAACTTTGTTACAACTGTATTCTCTACAAAGTCGGGTGGCTTGGACGGGTAGATTCCTTTGTCTTTCCGGAGAGGGGCCATGTGATTTCACACAGTAACGACATAAAAAAAAAAAAAAAAGGCAATAAACACCCAGGAACAGAAGTCTGACAAGGCCTGCCCGGGGAAAAAACAAGCTTTTCCACAGCTGAGGCCCAGGCCCAGGGATGCACAATGGGGCTGAGCTGGTATTTGGCCCAAACTTGAGACAGCCCTTAGCTGTCTCCAGGGAGGAACCTGGAGGTGGCAAGTTCTCCACCCAAACTGAGGAGGTGAGACATTAAGGAGAGATTTACATGTGCAGGTGGGTTCACAAAAGCCTACCTGCCACAAGTATCTTCCCCTCGCCCACAAAACAGCCTACAATCCCACCCACACTCACCAGTGACCCAGAAATCCTGGAAGGAAGCCCTCATCTAAGCTCAGCGGTGAGGTGCGGGGTGTCTGCCCTGAGCCTTCCTGAGGGCTGCCTGGGAGCACCACCGCCTTCTCCCCAAACCAGACGCTGGAAACCACCAGCAGATTCTGATAGGCTCTGAGGCATGCTTCCGTCTTATGACATGTCCAGGATGAGAAAGGGCACCAAGCCACAAAGCAGAGGCACCCAGCACCTGCCCGGGCTCAGGCCTCCTTTTCGGCCTCTCCCGTGTCCTGGAAGTGCCTGCTGCCTCCACTGTAGCTCAGGAAGGGAATACGGCCTTTTCTTTTTTAAGTCACTTTGACACGTGATTCTAGAACTCAAGAGAAGCAAGTTTCTGTCAGAATGCCTGAATGGGGGACACAGCACACAGGGCTGGGCTGACAGACATCATGCAAAATGAGTCACTTCATCTATGCCTGCTGCTGGTGCTGCTGCCAGCCCTGCTCAATAAGTGAGTAAGGCAACCGAGTCCACGTGAGATCTGCGGGAACTGGACGTGTAGGATTATCACAGCAACAGGGACAAGCAGTCCAGTAAGAATGCTGCTGTTGCCACGCGTACTGGCTCCTTCCCTACAGGAGCAGAAGTCCCTCAATGTCTCTGCTTGTGGGGAGAAGGAAGGCCAGGGAAAAAACTGGGAAGGTAAAGGAAGGGGAACAGAGGTGCTGAAAAACAGTCCTGGCTGTGTGGCTCAGTTGGTTGTAGCATTGTCTCATGCACTAAAAGGTTGCATGTTCAATTCCCAGTCGGGCACATACCTAGGTTGCGAGTTTGATTCCCAAACTCAGGATCAAACTCGGGGTGTGTCTGGGTCTTCCCCCACCCCTCTTCTCTCTATAAAATCAATGAAGCTATCTCCTTGGGTGAGGAGATGCTGAAAAACAAAAACACCCCCAAAAATGAGTGGGGGAAGAACATCTAAACTCAACCAGATCCTCAGTAATTCTCCACAGGCAGGAGCTCTTTGCTCTGATTTGATCTCAAGTGGAAATTATATGGACAAGACCCAGTTTCCTTCTCTGAGCTGATTCAGGTGAACTCTCATGTACAAAAGCAAATCTCAAGACAGAAAGCTCCCGCTCCCCCTGGCTCTCTACAACCATTTCTCAGTTCCAAACGCCTCTGCCCCTTTCTTCCCAACTCTCCAGCAGCTACTCCTCAGTGGCATCAGGACCACAGCCATCCCCACGACCACAGAAGCACGACTGCATGAGACCTGAGGCCGAATTCAGGGGAACTGCAACCGCACACCCTCCCAGAGGCACTGCCTCCCTGGCAAGCACACAAGGGGCCGGACTTAGGGGAGATAAAGACCTCAATTTTCTCCCCCACAAGTTACAAGATGGCTTGCATCCCTCTCAGGCTTAAGGTAAGGTTTACCAGCCTTGGCACTACTGACATTTGAGCTGGGTAGTTCTCTGTGGTGACTGTCCTGTGCAGTAGACTTAGAAGCACCCCTGGCCTCCACCCACTAGACTGCAGTAGCCGCTCCCAGGAGTGACCTGTGCGCACTCAGCCCCATCCATGTTGAGAACCACTGGCTTAAGGTATCACCTCTGCATACTCTCTTTATAAATTTCACTATTTTTAGAGGGAGAAGACAGACATGGACTTCCACAAGCTACTCAACTCTTTGGTGTGAATTAATCTTTGCTCCGAGAGGTATACAGCCAGATAAGGATATGATTACCCTGTAAGAGCTCAGGCTTGGTGGCAGGGCTGAGGGCTGAGGTGGGGATGGGGGATGGGAGGGGGATGGAGAATGCTGCCAGTAGGAAACACACTTCAAGAAGAAACAGCTGACGCACCATTCACAGCACAGGACTTGAAGATGCCTTTCCCCCTATTTACAAGGGAACAGAACCAACTTCAAGTCTGTATTATCCAACAAATACAGACTTGATCCTGTAAAAAACCTACAGAATCTTAGAAAGACTGAACCTCACCAAACACCCATGACTGAAAGGTCAAACTGGACTTGGCCAATGAACTGAGCCAAAAATTCCAGCATTTTTGACTAAAGTCTGTCTCTAGAAGCACTTGACAAGCACCTCGGTGAAAACTGTGCCATAGAAAAACTGCAGCAGGTGAGACACAAACCTATGTATGGTGTGGAGTGATTCTGTTCGTGGCCCCACAGACACTTGGACCCACACTGAGAAAAGCAACCAATAATATCATTCTAGGACAGGGGTGGGCAAACTTTTTGACTCGAGGGCCACAATGGGTTCTTAAACTGGATCGGAGGGCCGGAACAAAAGCATGGATGGAGTGTTTGTGTGAACTAATATAAATTCAAAGTAACCATCATTACATAAAAGGGTTCGGTCTTTTTTTTCAATAGTTTTATTCCGGCCCGCAGGCTGTAGTTTGCCCACGGCTGTTCTAGGAGGTCTAGATGATACACAAAAGAATAAAACATGATTCCTGCCCTCAGGCTGCTGACAATCAATCACACTGGGAAAAGAAAAGGTTAATTGCACATTCATCAACACCCTCACCATCTAATAGCAGCAGCTAAGATTTACTGGAAGCTTATAATGTGCGAAGCTCTATGCAAAGCACTTTATAACTATTACCTCTTTAATCCTTTCAACAACCCTATAATATAAGTATTACCATCCCCATTCTACAGCTGAAAACACACACACACACACACACACACAACAAAACTGAGGTTCAAAGAGACTAGGTGACTTGCCCAAAGTCATACAGCTGATAATGGGACTTGGATTCAAATTCAAACTCATTTTTAACCACTGTGCAATGCTGTGCTGAAGACAACACTGCAGGAGTGTGAAAGGGCTGGCGTTCAGGGAGTTGGGGAACTGCCGAGAGTCTCAACAGAAAGCTAAAGACTGGGGCTGGCGAAGGGGAAGAAAAAGTGTCTCCAAGGCAAAAAGTTCTTTAAAAATTAGCTCCGTGTTACCCAGCAGCCTAACCAGCTATTCGAAATACTACTGCCCACAAGGGAAATCAAAGTCTTCCCTTTAAAGGATTTGAGGTTGCAGTGAGTGGGGTGCTTCAGACAGGCACAAATGAAGGCCAATAGATACTCCTTTTTCTTCCAAGAGTAAGTATCACCCTTCCTATTGGGTTTAAAACTTTAGCTTGCTTTCTACCACCATACCCATCCCTAGGTCAGTGAATCTTCTTCATCTTGTGGAGACATGACTCCTCTGAAAGTCCACTGATGCTATCTATGCACCCACTTCCCAGAAAAACGGCCACACACACCTCCCCCTGCATAACATTTTAAGAACACATAAAAGGCTTTTACACATTACAAGGTCAGGAGGATGTGAACACCGAATCTGGGCCTACATTTGGATTTCACTTTTTCAAAATGTTTCAATGTGTTTATTCCAATGACCCATTCACTCCTTCCAAAGTGGGTTTGTACTGAAGAGAAATTGGCCAAGGTAGTGAGAGATTTATTCCAACAATTATTCACTACAATAGCTGAGGTATATCAGGCACCACACATATACTTAATTCTTTCTTCTGGATGTTACCTTATCAATTGTATTTTCAACATGACTCCTTAAAATGACCAAAGAAATCCCTGGTTTGGCTCGATGGCACTGGATGCCTTTGTGACTCATACAAGCAGTCAGCAGGCAGCCGGCTCACTCACATGAGCGGGGGGGGGGGGGGGGGGGGGGGGCCTTCTGGTGTCACCCCGATGACTTGCCACCAGGGGCAACTCCTAGCTTTTCAGGAAGAGCAAGGACATGCAAGTCTGGTTTCCAAAGTGCCTAATGGCGATTACACTGGTTTGGTGATTCACAAAGCAGTACAGGATGTGCCCAATTACACATTCTATTTTTTTCCGATCTTATTTCATAAACTCCAATTTCATAAGAACACAGGTTCTCCATCCAACAAAATTATCCAACTTGAACAATTGAAATAATGACTGTCCACAGAACGCTTTTTAGAAATGGGAGTATACACAAGACATGATCTTAATAAGACATGGTATAATAATTTTAAAATGTTTTGGTCATGTCCTTCATTCAAACATTTTAAAAGTGCCTACATTTTGGATATTCTGAGAGGCCAAGGGCACAAAGAGAGAATCATTTTCCAAGTGTCAGTAATAAAACACCAAGCAACAAAGATACCAGACAGGCCCCCTATCAAATAAAACAACTTTTATCAAGTAAAACATTAACAATATTAATTTTTTCTTCTCTACTCCCACCCCAGATCTAAGACTACAACTTGAAATCTTTAGGAAGAAGGTGCCAACAAAAGCAGCTGTTGGAAAATAAAATTCTTACTGTAAACAAATGATTAGTTCTTTCCAAAATAAGTAACAACTTGGTGTTCTCATCCTCTGACTCGGAAACATGACTTCTTAATTCAAATGGTCCCAATTCCACCAGGAAAGCATGATGCCTTCAAACATGCACAGCCCCTTCCATCTGCAAAGGACTATGGGAAAAACAGAGTGGCCTGTCTGCAAAGAGCTAGTAACTTCCATTTTCAGGGGAAATGTCTACAACCCACATGGAATAAACTGAGGCCACTTACCACCACATATTTTCCTCCTAAAGAAACTGCCTCCCTCCTGTGTGAGGAAAACCACAGACAAAAAATTATGTACTGTTCAATGTGTTAAGGAAAAATGTTTCACACATAAAAACAAACCAAAAGGCAGCACGAAACCATGTGAGACCTCTAAGTCAGGAATCAGTCGATGATACTGTGTATTCCTGGGCTCCTGGATGCAAACATGGTCTGATTTTCTAACCCCCCCGAATATAATGAAAGGATTTAACTAATGTCAAAGTCTTACAGGGGACACTGTTAGAACTGGTTTAGGAAATGAACTAGGCTCTAAGGCAAGGAATGCTACTGAACTATTCTGCTCTAAGAATGACCTGTGGAAATTCCCTATGACTCCTAGCAAACTTGCTCCTGTAATTTAACCTGTAAGGAACCCAGGCAGGTTTAGGAAATGAGGCCCCACGAAGGTGGCGACATGTCTTAGCTTGGCATGCACGAAAGACTCATTTGTCAGGCTTTGCAACCAAGCTTAACTGAGATTTAGGAGTAAGACACGCCACATTAAAATTCTTAAGGACCATTAATCATAGCCTCATGACTTCATATACAGTAATACAACATATGCTTATGTAGGTCTGGTCTTTATTCCTAATCAGAGGTATTAGCCACAGCCTATGGGAGGAATTTTTTCAAAAGTGGGACAAGCATGGTCCAGCCCATTCATTATTTTAAATAATTAAATAATACAGATATGGCTATGAAATTTTTGTTATTCTTGGACACAAACAGATGGCCAGTAAGGGAATGAGATCAACTTTGCAGCTGAAAATATACTATATTCCACTTCCAGTTTCTGAATGTCAAAGCTTAGGAGACACATCCCAAGAATCCAACTGGTAACCAGAACATGAAAATTATTTATTTCACTGGTTTGGCATACTCCAACTGCTAAGAAGTAGGAATAAGGAGAAGTAATGCATAGCAGAGCACCAAGTACTCAGTGGGTATTTAATAAATATTATTTGAATGACTAAAAGGAGCAATTACTCAAACAATGGCTAGCATACTGACAATTCAGGGCCTCTCTTCTTCAAGTCACACGCATCCTCGGTTGGAAACAAAAGGCACCATGTCTGTGCTTTATAGGCAGGCTTTCTGCCTTGGCCCCACAGTTACACAAATCCCCCCCACCCCCATCCCCACCCCCCACAACAGGTTCTGCTTTAAACAGTTAATATAGTCAGAGATTTTGACACTGACATCACATTTATCATGGATTCCAGGTCTAATCGAAAACTGGACAGAATATAGAAAGCAACTACTGTTTTTCAAATATTGGACAATAAGGCAGCACAGGACGTAATTCCTGAGAAGAGTGAAACAAATGAGGCAATCCCTGTAAGTCCCTGAACTCACTGCCAGGAGTCAGTTTCCAACCCACAGCATGAACTCAGCGGTCACAATGACTTGAAGAGACAGAGATCAGTATTTGGGGGCCAAGTATTGGCAGGGCAGCACACCTGGGAGGAGGGGGACCCCAGAGGTCCCTGAGACCCTTGGCTTGAGTTCTGATCTGCGTGAGAGGAGACTACCTAAAGTCAGGGAGAGAAGCAACAGAAAACGGTTTGTCTAAGAAGTCCCAGAGTTCACACAGGGCTGGTAATAGTTCATGCTTCCAGAGGCAAAAGTGGAAATAATTCGTAATACACATGGCATCAGATTAAAATCCTCAGAAAGCTATCACCTTAGTATTAAAGCCCAGTCATCCCTAAACTAAAGGCTGCTTTGGACCCACCCTAACAAAGCCTAAAGGCTAGCTTCAAAATGACACAACTAAGTCCCAGTACCTTAACTGCACGCCAGAACGAAGTCCAGCACTATTTAAAGAAATACAACAAAACCTAGCACCGAACAATGTGTGTCTGGCACCCAAGCAAAAATTATCGGGAATGCAAAGTAAAAAAAATAACCCATAACCAGGAGGAAAAAAATCAATCCATAGAAACAGGTGCACAAATGACCAACAATTAGCAAACAAGAGCATTAAACAAGTTAGTAAACTCGTGTAGCTTCTTTGGAAAAGTTTGGCAGTTCCTCAAATGGTTAAACTCAAAGTTACAATATGACCCAGAAATTCCTCCTAGCTATAGTAAGTCTTCTCTTAATGCCGTCAAAAGGGTCTGTGGCTTTAAGCTAAACGACATATAATGAAACCGATTTTACTACAGGCTAATTGATATAAACAAGAGTTAAGTTCTTACCACCTCTCATCAACATGATAATGAAGTGACATTATTCAGGGACTTAGGTTAGAAAGTATAAGGTACTATGCCTTTGATATATAGGCAGAATCCCCAAAAGAAATGAAAATATAGGTCCACACAAAAACCTGTACACAAATATTCCTACCAGTTGTACTCATAATAGCCAAAAAGTAAAAGCATTCCAAATGTCCATCAACTTATGAATGATTAACATGTGGTATATCCATGTAATGGAATATTATTCAGCAATAAAAAGGAATGAAGCACTGATACATGCTACAACCTGGATGAACCTTGGAAACGTTATGCTAAGCGAAAGAAAATAGTCACAAAAGACCCCATACTATATTATTTCATTTACATGAAGTGTCCTAAATATTGCCAAATCTTTAGAGACAGAGAGATTAGTGGTTGCCTGGCTGGAGATGAGACACAATGGGGAGTGACTGCTAATGGGTACAAAGTTTCTTTGTGTGGTGATGAAAATGTTCTAAAGTTATACTGATACTGTACTATATGATTGCATTATATGAAGTGTCCTAAATAGCCAAATCTTTAGAGACAAGAGAGATTAGTGGCTGCCTGGGCTGCAGATAAGTGAGACAGAATGGGGAGTGACTGCTAATGGGTACAAAGTTTCCCTGTGGGGTGATGAAAATGTTCCAAAATTATACTGTGGCGATAGCAGCACAATTCTATTAATGTACTAAAAACCACTGACTTATACACTTTAGATGGGTAAATAGATACCAATGTGAATTATGTCTCAATAAAGCTGTTAAAAATTTATTATAAATATACTTCACGTAGTAAGAAGGTAGAACAAAAGGAAGCAGAGAAATAGATACAAAGCAAATCCAGTAACATTTATATCTGAAATAAAAAGTACACTGGATGAGGTTAATAGCAGATTAGACATTATAGACAATCAGTCAACTTTAAGATACAATAAAAATTATCAAAAATAAAACACAGAGACTGAAAAACAAATTAACAGATTACGGAGGCAATATTAGGTTGTCTAACGTGTAACTAGAATCAAAAAGAGAGAGGGAGAGCACAGAAAAAATAATTGAAAAATTATGGCTAATTTTTTTTTTTTAAATTTTGAGGAAAACAACGATCCCACAGACCCAAGAAAACTTAACAAACCCTAAATAGAATAAATATAAAGAAAACCACAGAAAGGCACACCACATCAAAACCAGTGAGTGATAAAGAAAAAAAAATGAAAGCAGTCAGATAAAGACATTAGTTAAAAGGAATAGAGAGAATGAAAATAAACTGCTTTTCAGAAACTATGCAGGACAGAAGACAATGGAGAAACATCCTTAATACGGGAAGATATTATCCCGGAATTCTATACCTAGTACGAATGTCTTTCAAAAGTGAAAATAGAGACTTTACCAACAAAAGCTAAAAGAATTTACTACCATCAGAGTTGCAAGTGTAAGAAATGTTAAAAGAAAGTTCATCAAACAGAAAGAGAATGATACTAGATGGACATTTGAACTTAAACAAAGGAATGAAGAGCTGGAAATGATCCATATAGAGATAAATATTAAAGATTTTTATTCTCATTTTTAATCTTTTTAAAAGATAATGAATATTTAAAACAAAATAACAATAACTTATTATTGGGTTTATAACATGCAGAGGTAAAACAGAAATGAGAATTAGAAGAAAGAAATGGCAGTTCATTGTTTCAAGGACCTTACACGCTATGTAAGTAGTATATTACTTGAAGTTTGGCTACAAACAGTTAAATGTGTATAAATCTAGAGCAGCCATTATAAAATAACCAATAGATGTAGCTAGTAAGCCTGGAGTGGAGATAACAGGGATTCATTAAAATGACAACAACAACCTAACTTAAAATAAGACAGAAAAAAGGGGGAAAGGACACAAAGAACTTATAGAACTAAGAGAAACCTAAAATAAGATGGTAGAATTAAACCTAAACAAATCATAACTACATAAAATATTCTTTTTTTAAAAAACCTCCAAATTAAAGGTGGAGATTGTCAGACTGAATCGAACAACAAAAACAAAACCCAACTATCTGCTGTCTACATGCACACAGACACAGACAGGCTAAATATAAAGACACAGGTGAAAAGTATAAGGAGATAAAAAGATATACTATACTAACATTAATCAAAAGAAAGCTGAAATCACCATATTCATACCTGCTTTATTAACACAGATTTCAAACAAAGAATATTGCCAGGATGAAGAGGAATCTTATATAATAAAAAGCTAATATGCAAATAGAACAGCGAAAAAACCGAACAACCGGTCACTATGATGTGCGCTGACCATGAGGGGGCGTACGCAGATCATGGCGGGCATCAGCACAGCAGGATGGTGGAGCAGGTGAGCAGGGGCGCCAGACCAAGGCGGGGCACTGTCACTGGGGCGAGCCTCTGGTGGTTACTGAAAATTCTTTGCTCCCGCTCAGTGTTTGCACATGCTGCCGACGCCAGTCCTGCTCGCACCCGGTGCCCAATCGCCCCTCAGGGCTTCTCCACCTCCCTCTTCTCCTCCTCCTAAGGGGAGATTGGGGTCAGCAGCTGCCTCTCACACCCACTGACAGCACTGGCCCTGCTCGCACCCGTTGCTGGCGCCGGCCCCAATCACTCCATGCCGTCAGTGAGTGCAAGTGGGGCCAGCAGCGTCAGCACGTGGGAGCGGCAGTGGCAGGAGCGGGGCTGCCAGCAGACAGGGGACTGGGCGCCATGGCGGGAGGGGCCAGGCGGGGGCCAAAACCTCAAGGTACATGAATTCGAATTCGTGCACTGGGCCCCTACTATTCCATAATAACAAAGGAGTCAATGTATTAAGATATAACAATCTTAAATGTTTATCCACCAGTAACAGAATTTCAAAACACATGAAGCTAGAACAGATAAAACTGAAAAGAGAAGTAGACAAATCCACAATTACAGCTGGATAGACAAATCCACAATTATAACTGGATACCTCAAAATAGTTTCACAGTAATTGACAGAATACAAAATGAAGGTGACTTTCTTGATCAAATTGGTATTTATAGAGCACATCACCTAAAAGAGCAATTACACCTTCTTTTCCAGTACACATTCATGATGACAGGCCATAGGCCATAAAACATGTTTCCATAAATTTTAAAAAAACTGAAATCATACAAAGTAGGTTCTCTGACCACAAAAGGATTAAGTTAGAAAACAATAATAAAAAGGTTTTCTGGGAAAACCTCCATGTACTTGGAAATTAAATACTCACTTCTAAATAAACCATAGGTCAAAGATGAAATCACAAAGTAAATTACAAAGTATTTTTAACTGAATGTGAAAACAAACATTGTTGGATGTAACTAAAGCAGTTGTTAACAGGAAATTTATAGCCTTAAATGCTTATATTACGAAAGAAGAAAGGTTTCAAATAAATGATCTAAGCTTTCATCTTAAGTTACCAGAAAAAGAGCAAATTAGACCCAGAATGAGGAGAAGGAAAGAATAAACAAAAATTAAGGGAACTAAAAACATAAAAGTAATAAAGAAAAACCAATGATACCAAATGTTGATTTTCTAAAAAGATCAATACTATCATAAGGTTGTAGGCATACTGATAAAGAACAAAGACGGGAGACAAATGATCAACATCAGGAATGAAAACATCATTACAGATCATATACACATTAAAAGAAAATTAAGGGAATATTATAAGTTTGGCAACTTAGATGAAATTGACAAGTTTCTTGAAAGATACAGACATTAAAACCCACTACAGAAAAAATAGAAAGCCAGAAATAGCACTATATCTATTAAGTAAAGTGAATTCATTAAAAACCTCCCCAAGAAAATTCCAGGCTTTAAAAGATTCACTATTGAATTCTTCCAACATTTTAAGGAAGAGATAAAATAAATTCTACCAGAAAGCAGAAGAGGGAAGAGTTTCCACTTCATTTTATGATGCCATCATTACCCTGATACCAAAACCAGATAAAGATATTACAAGAAAGGTACAGGATCAATATCCCTTATGAAGATAAACACAAAAATCGTTAATCAAATGTTAGCAACTTGAATCTAGCAACACAAAAAATTACTCCAAATACAAAAATATATCCCTGAAGACTTCAACGTGAATATTCATAGCAGATTTATTCACAATAAAAAAATGGAAACAATCCAAATGTCTATCAATGGATAAAATATTGTGCTATATTTACATATTGGAATATTCATATAATGGAACACTTCTTGGTAATTCAAATGCATTGAACCAGCGATAAAAGTAAGACGCAGATGAATTTCAAATGCACTATGCTAAGTGAAAGGAGCTAACACAGAGACTACGTACAGTCTGACTATTTGTATAAAATTCTAGAAAAGGCAAGGAGCAGCTCAGACTTTGCTGGGGGCTTGGAGTAGGGAGCAGAGACTTGACTGCAAAAGGGGCACCAGGAGATTTTTTTAGAGTGATAAAATATTTTATATCATGATTGTGGTGTCAGTTACATAACTGTACACATTTGTCAAAACTCAAAATTTTCACTTAAATTGGTTCAGTTTTATTGTATTCAAATTATACAACTCAATAAATTGATTAAATTTTTCTACAGGTGAATTTCAAACAAAAATTACCATAGTTTTGTGTGGTTTTTTTTGAGAGAAAATTTTATTTCACTGTAAAATTATCCAAATGCTTCAAACATCAGGATTGTAGGAAAGCAGTCTTCATATTCTTATTCTTTGGGTTACAGATTGGCAGTGGCAGCAACAAAAGTGTAAGAAATATGTGGAGATTCTCTGAATTGTTTAAACTGCACTGATTTGCGTCAGATTCTGCCCAACCTTTCCCCCTATCATGTATTTGTAAAGACCACAGAATGGGAATCCGTTCTCTCCCCGCCCCCAGTACTTTCTAATTCTTTTTTCCTCTTTGACTCAGAGAGCACCAAGGTGAAGAGGCTCAACCTATTAGGCCGAGAGGTCCAGTCTCATGACTCTCATTTATACCGATTTATGAACACTGAATCCTCCTTTTAATTCTGTTGCCTTTCTTGTGGGGCAAATTTCCCTATAGCTAATTGACTATGAGTTTCTGGTCACGAGTCCACAGTTAGAAACCAAGCGATTCTTATGACTCCTAATTCAGTCCTTTTAAAAATTATAAAAGTGCCCTAGCCTGTTTGGCTCAATGGATAGAGCATCGGCTTGCAGACCGAAGGGTCCCGGATTCGATTCCAGTCAAGGGCACATGCCCGGGTTGGGGCTTGATCTCCAGTATGGGGTGTGCAGGAGGCACCTGACTGGTGATTCTGTCATCATGGATGTTTCTATTACTCTCTCCCTCTCCCTTCCTCTCTGAAATCAATAAAGATATACTAAAAAAACCACGCAAATGTATATAAAAAAATTATAAAAGCAATCACTATAACATTAAACAATATTAAAAATGTTTTAAAAAGAGCTCTCCAAGAGGTTAATAGTTAAATTATAAATCCATCCAATACTTGTCCTATTAAAGTAATAATTTAAAATAATCACTATAAAATGTATATACAGATAAAAACAAAACACATCAAACAAAGAGCAGAGAAATCTCTTAATGAGCTAAGTAAATAGATCGTGTGCATATGACCAGATTTGCAAGGAACTCACATAAATTAAGAGGGGTTGTAATAGGTTTCCCCCAACTTTTTTCTTTTCAAAAGTGTGTGAATGTGTGTATGTGTGTGTGTTTTCTACTAATTCAACACGTGCATCTCCTGAGTTTAACAAAAGAACCCTAGCCTAGGCAACAAGTAGCCCTGTGGTTAACAGCTGAGTTCACTAGGCTTTGTTACCAACATGTAAGTATTTTGTTGTCGGGCCCTAAGCTACAACTGAAGGACCTGCAATCAGATGCACCTCTACTAAAGGGGTGTGGCATGAAGAAAGAGGCAGGTGAGAACACAGCTACCTTCCAACTTAAAAGGTCACTTTGTTGGCCCATGTGGCCAACCCAGAAATACAAAATGATGCAGTAAGACACAAATTCACTTGCCTGTCTGGTATTTAACCACCTCCCCCTTTTTTTTTTTAAATATATTTTACTAATATTTTACAGAGAGGAAGGGAGAGGGACAGAGTTGGAAACATCGATGAGAGAGAAACACTGATCAGCTGCCTCCCGCACACCCCCAACTGGGGATATGCCCGCAACCAAGGTACATGCCCTTGACCAGAATCGAACCTGGGACCCTTCAGTCCAAAGGCCGACGCTCTATCCACTGAGCCAAACCGGTTAGGGCAAACCACCTCCCTTCTTAACGACCTCCAATCTCAATACTGTATTTTCACCACCACCTTGAAAGAAGTAGATGTCCAGGACAGATAGTATTTTGTTTGCTAATTTTAAAACTAAACAGATCAAGACTCAGAGCTTTACAACTATGCCAAGACACCCCGGTACTAAGTAGCTAAACCTGGACTAGAACCCCAGCTGTCCGTACCTAGGTAGGTAACACCCTGGCACCTCTCCATGAATGCGGGTATCATTCTCTCAGCACAACCGTTCCTACCCACAGCCTTTGCTCCTAGGAAAAACTCAGGGGACCTGTCTTGGTCTGTAAGCACTCACCGAAACAAACCTTTTGGAAGTGACGTGACGATTCACCATTTATTTAGGAAGAAAGGCTAAAGATGGCAAGGCTTAGAGATAATCCATTTACTCAGCTTACCAGTTACAAACCATTGCTTTCCTCAATGTGAACTACAGTAGGCTGATCTTAAAGGCATTTAAGAACTAACCTCCAATAACCTCTTCTGCATCATGTCCTCTGGTAACTGTCCATTTGGATTAAGGAAAAACCTTGAGGTCTGGCTGACAAGACCCTGCAGCTGGTGGAAGCACACTGGCCACCTCAGGTTAACAAAGAAAAGGTGCTCTATAATGTAGAGCATTAACTGCTTACACAGCTATCCTGCGGTCAAAACAGATCTGTCCAGGGAATGTAGGGCCAGTTTTCTAACCCGGAGAGGGTAGGTGTAAAGAAAAATTAAAAATTAAGCTTTTTCTCCCCCTCTCTGAAAATTGCATAGTTCTCTTCAAACTTTTAAAAGAACTATTAGAAATGCTAAACCCTATAAAAGTACCAAAGCCAAAAAACAGTTTTTATATTGTCCACCACTTATAAACACACTGGAGTGGTTTTCAAATAAACCCAGAGACAGCTAAAAGGGATCCTAAAGGGTACACTCTGTCGGAGCCCATGGAGCTGGCTAGCAGGCAGGAGATAT